CGATCGGCTCCCGCAGCTGCCTGCTGGGTGTCACGGTCGCGGATACACAGCGAGCCTGCCTCCCACACGTGAGAAGTGCCTACGCCCGCCGCGCGCTTGGTTTCGCATGCCCGCCGAGTTCCTCCCTCTCTACTCTCCGGATGTAATGTATTTCCCAGCCCGGTCCTTCCCCTTACTGCTCGATAGGACCGGTAATTAACAAGCCCTAATACCTTCTAAAGTGCTTGCACGTGTGTGTGTGTGTTGCACTTTCCTGCTAGGAAAGCTGTTTGAAACTCCCAAGATTCTTAACTGGGCTGTTTCTGAGATGTGACACTTAGCAAATTCAACACCAGGAGTTGAGGTCTTCGTCCGGCCTGTTATAGGCTCCTCTGCCGACCTCCACCGTCCATGTGACTTCATCTCCGGACCGTGCTCACGCTGCCGCTGCGTGTCATTCCTTCGTGTGTCCTTTCATTCATTCCTGTATCGACTCTACCATATGCAAGGTGACACTTGGGACACGAGCACACACTGGACATGGCCCCAGGCAGGGGGCTGGAGCCCGGGGAGGGGTCCTGGGGGTGGCCAATTCGAGATGTCCCCGCCCCCCGACAGGCTCCGCCCTGGGCCTGCAGGTCCTGCTGAGGCCGTGGGCAAAGTGTCCTCCGGCCGCTGGCTGCATCTCGCAGCCCGGTACAGGGAATGTTCTCCAGTGCCTTCCTTGAGGCAGTCCGCTTCCCAGGCTGGTTCAGACCAGATCAATGCTCATCAGCTCTGGTTACCTTGAGTGCATCTTTCGTTCACTATATACTAAAAATCCCACCCCTAGAGAGAAATCACAGGCATTTAGTGTACATGTGACGCATGTATAAGCATGTTCTCATACTACACATGCACACCAGAAACCCCACCCTTTTTACGCTTAACCCTGTGTCAACTGCTGTTTAACCTGTAAGCCTTTTGCGACTGGGAGTGGGTTGTTTTTCCATCTAACCAGCTGCTCCTGGACCACCTTCCCTGTACATAAGTTCTTGAATAAAGCCCATGTGTCGTGTGTTGTCTCCAGGTCATTTCTTTGGCCTCTCAGACACAATGCCTTCCCATTTGGGGTCATGGGAGGGGTCCAGCACGACACCCTATCCCTATCATTATGCTGGGTGCCTGGGTAACACACAGGATGCTGTCTTTAACACCAATGCACTACGAGTGTATATGGGTATATGGACAAGTTTCTAAAAAAAAAACCCAGCATCTTGATACAGATACTAAAATGGACCCTGCATTACACAAATAATGCAGCCTGCAAGGCCCTTCAGGATCTCACTGTCACACACCTCTACAGGTTGAGCTCCTGGTGTCCTGTACCTACTTGAAGTCCCTCAACTTCAAGCAACACCCTAAGCAACACCCAACCCCACTTTTACCTAATTTCCTCTATCTCCCAAGACTCGACTCAGATCTCACCTTGAAGGAATTTTTCCTCTACCTCTGAAGCGACATCCTTACCTCGGCCTCCAAGCCAATATCCACACAGAAAACTAGGAGATGTCCCTTTTTGAGGCCCCCACACTCCTTCTGTATAACTATGTTAACATGTATTTGTGTATTTAACAAATACTTAAAAAATAAAAAGCTGAGTGTGATGGCTCACATCTGTAATCCCAGCACTTTGGGAGTCTGAGGCGGGAGGATCACTTGAGGCCAGGAGTTTAAGACCAGCCTTGGCAACAAAGTGACCAAAAAAATTTTTTTTTAATTAGCCAGGTGTGGTAGTGCATGCCTGTAGTCCTAGCTACTTGGGAGGCTGAGACGGGAGGATAACTTGAGCCAGGGAGGTCGAGGCTGCGGTAAGCTGTGATCGTACCACTGCACTCCAGCCTGGGCGACAGAATGAAACCCTATCTGTCCTTGCCCTCTTTCTGCATGGAAAAATAGAGTAATTGAGCAGGTACTTACAATGATTTTCTATTAATTTTTAGGTCTTCCCCACCTACTGTCTGAACATCAGTGTGATCAAATGGCCTTATTCACTTTTATAGCCCCAGAACTATAAACCTGGAAGAACACCCTCCTTAACCTGCTGCATAGACGAGCAAAGTGCACTCTTTTGACAAACAGGATTAATGCAAATTAGTAATAATGACTTCAGATACAGTGAGTACAAATTGGAAAAAAACTGCATGTAAGATGTCCAAAATTCAAGTAGAAATTATTTAAATATCTATATGAGTTTCAAAGAGTACAATAGTCCATCAAGTGCAAATCCTTTCTAAATGTTGAGTGGAAAAGACACGTATGAGGTCTGACAAGTTTGTGAACATGCCACTGTGTGCTTACATTGACAGCACTGTACAATCAACTTGGTGATGTTTCATAACCTTGTTATAGCAGGGTCTCACAGCTGTATTCATGTCAACATGTGGTGGCATCTTGCTGAGTGGCATTCATTATTGCTGTTGCATGTTTTTGCATGCCATCACAAGAATACTGGGAGCTTGAATTAGAACAACAAACAAACATTAAATTTCTTGTTAAACATGGCAAGAGTGGAAATGAAATCAGGGACCTGATAGTCTTAAATTTATGGGGATAATGCCATGATGAAAATGGCAGTGTAAAATGGATTAAAAGTTTTTCTGAGGAGAGAGAAAGCATCACTGATGAAGAGAGATCAGGATGGCCAGTAGTGAGCAGAACTGACAAAAAACATTGCAAAAATTAATCGAGTTGTGCAAAAAATTGCCAGCTGACTGTGAGAAGCATAGCAGTCCAAATCAACATCAATAGAGAAACAGGATGATCTTAACTGAAAATCTTGGCATGAGAAAGTTGTGGGCAAAAATGGTCGCAAAGGAGCTCTTGTATCACGACAGTGCACCAGCTCACATGGCACTGTCTATGAGGGAGTTTTTAGCTAGTGAACAAATAACTGTATTGGAACATCCTCACGACTCAACTGACCTGGCCCCCAATGAGTTTTTCTTTACCTGAATGACATTCATGACAGCTCTGATGGCCATTCCAGAAAAAGTTCCAACATTGCTTTGATGGGTGGACTAGGCACTGGCATCTGGGCCTAGCTTCCCAAGGGGAGTCCTTCAAAGGTGACCATAGCGATATTCAACAATGAGGCATGGAGCACTTTTTCTAGGTTGAGTTTGCAAACTTAATTGTCAGGACCCATATATGTTTTTTCCTATTTTTTCAATTTTCCTTTCCTATATATATCTTAAGAGTCGACCAATATAAAAATTTCTAATCAAGTAATTTACCAAGTGGAACACTGCAGATTTTTCTAAGTAGAGAGTTAGGGAATTTATGTAACTTGAATCCAACACCTTGCTTCAGTTTTTGTAGTCCAAGACAAAGAGACTAGAGCAAGGGACTAGATCTCATAGCTGGAACCAAGAGATGGGCCATTCTAGATAATCTATTTCCACATCTCATAACCTGCCAACATCTCTGATCTAATTACTCTTAGTGTATTGGATTGGTACCTGGCCTTTTTAGTGTGTATGCATCATTTAACTGCTGAACTTTTTTTTTTTTTTTTTTTTTGAGTCAGAGTCTCACTCTGTCACCCAGGCTGAAGTGCAGTGGCATGCTTATGGCTACTGCGGCCTCAACCTGCTGGGCTCAGGCGATCTTTCCACCTCAGTTTTCCAAGTAGTTGGAACTACAGGCACGTGTCACCATGCCTGGCTAATTTTTTGATATATTGTAGAGACGAGGTCTCACCAAGTTGCCCAGGCTGGTCTCAAGCCCCTAGAATCAGGCAATCCTCTTGCCTCCACCTCCCAAAGTTCTAGGATTACAGGCATGAACTGCACCCAGCTAACTAGTGAACTTCTTACAACTAAAAGTAAAAAAGTGTAAAAGAATTAAAACCATAATATTAAAAGGATTCTTTGTATATCTACTGAACTACACACTTGTCATATTTAACAGATTTTTGGCTTCATCGAATGGCAGTCTTAATTAAAATTTAAAATGAAAATGGAATAATTGATTTAGACTTCCAAGTTTAGGTTGAAATCTTACTAAATTTATAGATGTCATCAGGTAAGAGAAATTTAGCCTCACTGTATTGCTTTATTATTAATTTAAAACTTAAGCATTTAGGAAGGAGTTAAATTCAACATTTTAAGTGCTTATGAACAAGATAAAATAGTAAATGTATAAATACAGTTTAAATGTTTGAAAATGATTAAGTACATGAGTGAGATTGAAAGGTTAATTTCAAATGACTGTTAAAGTTTGCTAGAGATGTCTAGCATAATAAGAGCTGAAAGCTAAATTTAAAAACCTAAAGTATACAAATAGGGCATTGCATTGGGAACTAATAAGTTGAAAATTGAGGCCAGGCGCAGTGGCTCATGCCTATAATCCCAGCACTTTGAGAGACCCAGGTGAGAGGATTGCCTGGGCTCACAGGTTCAAGACCAACCTGGGCAACTTGGCGAGACCTCATCTCTACAATAAATCAGAAAATTAGCCAGGCATGGTGGTGCGTGCCTGTAGTTCCAGCTACTTGGAAGGCTGAGGCGTAAGGATCACCTGAGCCCAGGAGGTTGAGGCTGTGGTGGCCATGAGTGTGCCACTGCACTTCAGCCTAGGTGACAGAGTGAAATGCCAACTCAAAAAAATAAGATAAT